AAATAATTTAAATTCGTTATTATATTATGTAAATTTATTTTATTATTTTTTATTATTTAATAAAAATCATACTCATTTTGGTAATTTTACTAACTAAACTTACTTTTATTCAATTATAATCTAAATACCTTTTTATCCAAACGAACTTTTACAAAATCCAATCCAAACATAAATCATATTAACTAATTTAACTTTTACTCAATCTAATTTTTTCAAAAGTCAAATTAAAAATAAACTAATTTTCAATCCAAAAGGGCCACATTTCTTCTTGTCTAAAATATTTTAGAATATGTGTTATATCACTGTTTGCGCAGGATATCAAAGAAAGATCATAGATCTAGTGGGAAGATTAAGATCAAAAGTATTTACGTCAAAAAACATTAAATACAGCTAACTACTTCAAACTCGGGTTTCAAAAGGAAGTTTCAATTAATGCTATCATGCACTTAATTACCTCAGACACAAGCTTCAATAAGAAAAATTCTTTGTCTCTAATAAACAATTCTAGAGCTAAACTACAAATAGAAGATGTATTAAATGAAGCGGCAGAGAATAAGAGATTATAAGCTACAGAAAGATAGCACATTCTGTGCAAAACATTCTCTAAGAAATATATTGAGCTTCAATGCTTAATATTTACCTTGTTGAGAAAGGAAAAACATAACATTGTTATGAACTTTTATTTATTGCTTACATTCATAGAATTCTAAGTGGGATTACTTTTATACGTTATAGGAGGGAGTGATTGCTTCAATTATTGAGGTTTACCTCTGGTATAAAGGTACTTGTTGTGCTATGGCAATAAGAGCCTACTGAATCTTAAGGATAAGCTTGGAGTCTGAATGCAGGTTGGGTTGGATCAGACCAATATAAATTACTGTGCATTTACTCTTACTTTTCTTTCAAGGGATAGATGATATCTTTTTCACTTTACTATGTTTATATTGATTTTATTTGGTTGTTTTATTATTTGCAAAATATTGGTAACACCCAATTCGCTCTCCTTTTGAGTATTCAACCATACTAACACACTTATTGTAAATAAATTGTTGGAATATATCTATATATATTCAACTAAATTTCTTAAAACCTTTTTTAATTTTAAATTCTTAATACATATATGTATGATTAATTCGTTGTGAGAAAATAATTTTATTGATCACCTCAGAGTCACATGATTTGCATGACCCTATAGTGTATCACTGAATATCAAGTCAACTTAAATAATTTATAACGGGTTGGCTATCTGGCACATGCTTGTTACAGCAGTTCAAGAGCAAGAGCATATAACAACAATAACAATAATAATAATCTTCTTCTTCGTCTTACACATTTCCTTACCATATATGTGTGTGTTATATGCTTCCGATATTTTCTTAAGTGTATTCAGATCCTATTTTCTAGCTGGCCAAAGGAATTTTTAGGATACTAGCAGGAGCAGCATCTGAATAGTACTGCTAAATGTGAATAATTTAATTGGAAAATGCCAATAACATTTGAAAATTATGACCCTTAATATCATCAAAAAAAATTATGGCCCTTATATTTATTATAAAATAAGAGATTTTAAGGAAATAAAAAATCTTGCTAAAAGAGACGAGAAAAATATTGCGGTAGTGGTCCAACGACATGTGGAATGGACCCTTTATTGCATTATCTTTGCAACTTGGCCATTTTTAATATTTATATATCTGTAAACATGCTTTATAAATATTTATTTTCAGATATTATAAAATCTCTCTTTTTAAATATTCAGCACATTTTAGTATCAAAATACTCAATGAGCAAATTTGTTTTTGGCCAAAATACTGTAAATAATGCGCAAATTAAAATACTGTAAATAAATGCAAATTAATTAATTATTAAAAGCAATTTAATGTTAAAAAGTTAAATAATGTATCCTCATCCAAGTATACTCTCTCCAATCCTTTATGTGTGCTCGGAAACTCTGGAGAGAATACCCTGAGTAATTTTTTTTGGGACCACTCGGCACCTACTCAAAATCTGTTTTCTCCAAATCTAAGGCAATCTTATTCATCTTTTCATCATAATTACTCAACAATATCAATACCAATAGCATTATTTAAAAACTATTTAATAATTTTTACAAAATAATTTAGGATATATGTGTGTTCAGCAACCTAAAATATTTTGTCATGTGCGTCCAACATTAAATTATTTCACAGTTCATTCAGCATTCTGAAGTATTTTCGCAAGTACTACCTCTGATCCTATTTATAAGATCTTATTTGTAGACTACAAATTAGATCTTATAATTAGAACTGGAAGTAGTATATCCAGTAACATAAAGTATTTTGTAATTCTTTCAACACCTTGGGGTATTTTTTTCAGGCGTATCTACCACCCTAAAAAATATTTAATAAAATACTTTATAATGTGTGATACATATTCATCTAACATACTTTTTGAAGAGTTTACAATCACGTTAGAATTGCTTCGGAAAAAAAATACTTTAAAGGCACAACTGCTTCTAAAAAGTTAATATTTTACGTGTAAAATTACATCGCAATATTTTAGGATTCTGAACACACATTAAAAAAATTTAAAAATGTTAGATGAATTATAAAATATTTTAGACTACTGAATACATTTAACAAAATATCAGAGCATTGAATGTGTTTAACCCGATAACGTATAAATAGAGATGGTGATGATGATGATCCCTCATCCTAGATGGTAATACATTCAAAAATCTGCTAATACAAATTACAAATATTTGAATAGGTTTGCACCTTGCAGGACATGTGGCAGGTTAGTCTATTTTTGGTATGAATAACTTATATTTTTGGTTTAGGAAGAGGACTTTTTTTTCTCTTGGAGGAAGAGAAAGGGCGGTGCCTTTGCCCTTTTTGAGCTGTTAACCAGTTAGCCCCTCGGCTTGCCTATTTCTTTATTTATTTTATTTTAAGTAAACACCTCATATAAGGTTTTTAGAAGGTATTTTTGACCCATTTTATAAGATATTTTGATAGTTTCAATAAGCATTAAATACTTTTTTGTATATATACCCATATTTAAAAAAAGGTAGTGAAAGAGAGCAGAAATTAATATGATGTTAAAATTTAGTGTAGTTAAGATAATATTAAGAATCTCTTAAATTTTATAATCTATTTAATATTTTTAATTATTTTTATTGGTATGTGTAAATTAATTAAAAACGTCTAATTGAAGGGAGTACTAATTTCATTAATTCAAGCTGAGTAACAAGACATGTCCAGATCTAACTTCCCTCAGCAACCGCCGCCCCCAGCAAACAAGTGGAGGTAGTTTAAAACTACCAAGAAGTCAAAAACAAAACTGTCCTAAAATAGCATGGGAAATTTTTTTTTTCCCTATAAAAATTCAGGTGAGTTGAGTTTCAAAGAACTACCAGGACTAAAGTATGTTTTTAGGTACAAAGAGCACTTACAAAAATATTTACAAATTGTCCATCAACAAATTCCTCGCATCATAAACGGGATTTGAATTCACAACCTTATAGGTTATAAACCGACTCTTTATCAACTAGACCAATTCTCATTGGTAGTATGGGAGAATTTAGTTTGCTTATTTTTGCATGCGATCCACTACACTTTTTTGGGAAATAAAATATTTATTAAAAAATTATAAACAAAAAAGTTATTTCTTGAACAGTGATAACAAGATTTAAAGTATAGATTAGCGATAAAAAAAAAAAACAATACTAAAGTATTTACTTTCATAGTTTTATTATATAATGTGTACATTTATTCATGAAGCTGTATTTTTTCTCTTTTCTTTTTTTCGGTAGGTGGGACAGAATTAAATATTGAGAAAGTCCAAAAATTGTCGCAAGAAATATATATAAATATATATACGACCTTTTGGAATTATTTTGCCAACTTCCATTCATTCATAAATAATTTATCAATGTGTGTTTGTCCATATTAGCTGTCTGTCTCAAACTCTCCATTAACACCTCATTTATTTGACAAAATTGAACATACCAGGCCCCACTTCAAAAGTTCTCATGCTTGTGAGATCTTTTGTTAATTGGATCTAAAATTAATTGATAAAATTTGAAAGCTTATAATGATAATTGAAGGCATAGTAATATTTACATTTTATAATGCAAGAAAAAAGTTGAATGATTTAAGGGTCAATACAATATTTGGTCCATCAAATTTGTTCTTATTTTGGTTTTGGTCACTCAAATTTCAAATTATAATTTTTAGTTTCTCAAATTTCTTTTTATTTAAAATATTAATCTCTATAATTTAATAAAAGCTCAAATTATTTTGTCTCTAAAGGAATTAAAACCTATGGTTTAAAACTTGAGAAACCAAAACTGAAATAAAAACAAACTTAATGGACCAAAAATTGTATTAACCCCATATTTTAATACTCTAATGTTACTCTCTCTTATCTTCAATATCAGACCTAGCTAATTAATTCAAATGAATTGAAAAAAAAAATCGTCAAATTGGTTATACATCATTATTGTATAAAAAATTTTATCACTTCTATTAAAATGTCCATCGTTTAACAGGGTATTATTTGTTGAAATGAATAATGTAAAAAAAAAAATTAAAATATACATTTAGAATCAAAACGAATTTTCAATTAGATGTTGTATTATGCATCGGGAAGAATATTAAATTTTTATCTTCATCATTGCTATTTCCACTTTGTCGTTGTTGCCTCACCCACATTCATGACTCCTGCCAAAAATTGTTGTCACCTCAATGTTTTGCCCCCACCATTTACGTTAATTCATCTTATAATCATCATAGTGAAAATTATAGTAATATACAAGTGATAACCATTATGAATATTATAGTAAAATACAATACATAGAAGTAAAATACTGAGGGAGGGAAAAAAATTACAGTAACATACAACAAATGCATGCGAAATATGAGGAGGAGACTTATATTGTGTAGACGAAGCATTGTTTAGCTTTGCTCTTTGCTCTTCAATCTTCATTGTGTTTGTGGGGAAAATTGTTGATCCAACAGAAGTGCACAATGAGTGTAATTTATTAATAAACTGAAAGATTTGCAAATTCTCTAATACAATATTGCAAGAGACTTCCTGTACAAAAATACCATCCCCATTCCCTTTAAAATTAAATGAAAAAACACGGAACCACAAAATTCTTCATATTTACATTTCAATAGCACATCCCAAAAATAATATGAAGAAGGCCCTACTATGAAGAACTCAAGATCCCAAATAGAACCAAAAAAACCTAACTACCTGATGGAATATGAACGGGTACAAACTGTCTCAAGAGCCTCAGTGAATAGAGAAGAAAAACTTGCCAATGCCTGGAAAACTCCGGGCAAACCAGTTTGCAGATTGTTAAGAGTCATTGCTCTTGTTACCTCCACAGCCTTGGAATGCTTCAGCATCTCATCTTCGACCCGCCTCTGGCAGGTGGTGAGCTCCAGTTTCTTTTCGGCAAGCGGGTCTCGAGCGTCCAAGCCTTGCCCACCATCTGATACAGCAGCAGGGATCCCTATACCTACCATAGAATACGAATTGTAATACTTCCTCTCTAAGTTTCGCAGAGAAGAAGCCTTCTTGTCGAGTTCTTTTGATGCAGTCTCAGTGCGTTTTTTGATCTTCAGCTCTTCACTTTGCTTGACAGAGATCACATGGACAACGTTGATAAAGCTCTTGATGGCTTCGGATGCAACCGTGTCAGGGACACGTTCGAGCGCAAGCTTCCATTCATCACAGAAGGCAAACGCATCAGAGGGTTCCTTGCTGCTATTGATGTTGTCATTGCTGACTGGAATAAGGCTGAGCTTGAACCAGCCATGTAGGGACAGGATGAAGCCTCTCTGGAATTTTATAAGACGACAAAAACTGGAATGCCAAGCTGAAACAGCTGACTCAAGATCGCGGGTTGCCTGGCGATGCAGTTCAGAAGTTGAGTCACCTCGGGCAGATTGATTCACAAGACCGCGGACTTGTTGCACGATGTTGCTCTGAATATCATGGTACTGGTGCATTGATCTCCACATGTACATCAGTCTACATTTTTCATATCACAAATATCAGCACAAAGTACAAATTCAGCATGTAGACAAATAATAGAGGAAACTACTACTTCGCTGTTTCACAGGTAAGCAAACAAAGTGACCGGATTCACTAGAAAGCGGTGCAAATGCACTCATGAATTGAATAGATAAATCAATCCTCATAAATTGTCACTGTAAAGCTCTAATCTCATGCCATGAACCTATCTTTTATATGCACAATAAAATGTCGAAAGTCCAAAAACAAGGTTGAAACTTTATATGATGGGCAAAACTGCCACCCATCCTATAGGTATTAACAGGCAATAGCAAAACTGTCAGTTCAGCCACAGATCACATCAAATTTAACATATAATTAGTTAATAGGATGAACAGGATATATTCACATGTACCCTTTGCCCAAAACAAAAGTAAATGGATGATTAAGTCAAAGTAATTAGGTGTCTCACCAGCCTGTGAGCACATCAAAATCAACTTGGTCATCAAGTATTAATTGGGAAGCTAAACCCCAACTAAATGATTGCTCTACATTAAGATGTTTGTACCCGTTAACATAAAATCCTCTGGCTTTACGTACCAGCAAGGCTGACCCCATATAATGATTTGGAACAATTAATTAAAATGGACGAGTAATAAAAATGACATTGATAAGAAGAAATAATCTATAAGCAGTTCTAATTCCAAAGAAAACAGAAAGAGACACGCCATAGTAACTCTAACACACCTAACACCATCAAGAAATTGATATTTGAAAATAATAATAATGGGGCCTAAAATTTAAACACAATACATTTTGACAGGAGCAGTGGTGGGCCAAGGACTGAATTTAAAAGCTAGACAGTACTTAGACAGCCCAGTAAATTGCGGCACATGCACTTATACAGAGATGATGAAGCAAGTTGCTTAGCAGACCAGAAAGCCATAATGCTTTCAACCACCATCTCCAAATATTTCTATGATTCAAACACTAGCATCTTCCATACAGTGAAATGCTTCCTCCGTTCAACAAATTTACGAACAAGTTCCTCATTTGAATACTGTATAACCAAAAAAGGTACCCAAAAGAAAAAAAAGAACAGAGAGAGAGAGAGAGATTCAATGGTTCTCTCGCATACCAACACTCATATTGTCTTTTTTTCCGAGTGAAAAAAAAAAAAAGGACAATATTGTCTTTCATCCAAATACGCAATAACAACCCACCCAGACACGTGCCAGTGAACTGTTGCTACATCACCAAAACGTAACAAGCAACATAGACTTTGTGACAATGTCTTTAATTATGAAATCCCACAATCTCATCTAATTCACCTATTGACCCCACAAGTACAAACAAGGATCTACTTGAAAATTTACGACCAAAAGAACTTATCACAGTTCATTCATTAGAAGTGTAAATATTCGCTCATAATGCCCATATTAGTGAATTATTATATCAGATCAAATTTTGAACAAATTATCTTTAATGACTAATAGTCAAGAACATGATCCTTTAGCTATCCTCTCATGGCAAGCAAATCAGTTAAATCATGAGTTGTAGAATTTAAAAGACTTACCCATGACAGAATTGAACAAGCTGAGGAACGAGATCAGAGTCTCTGAGGCCAATTATGGCAGTTGAGGTAGTAGACACGGCCTGAGAAGTGACAACAATGAGCGATTGCAGCCTTTTTATAGAAGCCTTGGTTTTGCTGATCTTTGCTTCATCCTCCCCTTTGTATTCCTGACTCTGCAGAGCTGACAGTTTCTTTTCATGTTCAATCTTCACACCTTCCCTAGCCTAGATGGATACATTAAGAATTTGTTGTATTCATCAGAGTGCGTAATCTTAAAAACACATGGTTATAGCTAAAAATAAGTGCTACAGGTCGTAGCCATATATCCTCAGCTTGGTTAAACGACAGGCTAACTGCTCACTGGAATTTCAATTCCAGACATTACTTTACGATTATGGGTGCATATTCAAAGAACCCATGCAGAAAAATCGATACCAATCATTCATATTCAATCAATCAATCAATCACATATAGGACAAACATGTCTATTCCATAGAGGCATAGGAGAAATCCTTGTTAACTTCATGAAAAATACTTTATAAAAAAAGACAAGTCCATGATATATTTCTCTAATATCTTACGGCATAATCTTAACTTAACATTTCCCCTTTAAGGTTACTGCCTAAAGGCTTTAAAAAATACAGATGATTAAAAAAAATTCCAAAGGTGTATGGTTCGGAGTTCAAATAATCAAGGCATAATTTTTGAAAGATAACATATACATTATTATTTTAATTATTATATATAAATATTAAAACCGAGTTTCGTCATGAGGAGGGTATCACCAAAAAGTGGAAAAAGCAAAGGGCATTGCAGTCATTTCGGATACACATTAAACAATGGATGTTAGACCGAAAGAGACTCATTAAAGTAGGAGAGCCGTCCAAAGGTTATGGTCGTCAATTCACATGGATCAAGCGGGGTCTTTTCCACACTAAACAGTCAAACTCTGCTGTGGCCTTACGCTACTACCACCAAGTCCAACCTTGGTGCAGATCCTAGTCATTTCCTTTAACCTTTATCTCGAAATTAACAGTGATTTTTCATTAAAATAGCAAAAGAAAAACTACTTTTCAATTAAAAAAAAAAAAATCAAGCTAAAGGTTAAAAACTACCTTCACTTCCTCATACAGCTTCTTCTCCCATGCCAGAAGCCTCTCCAATGTGGAGCACAGGCTCTTTGGACCGCCTGGTTCTTCTAGCGAACCGGTATCCATTTGATACTTAACGGCCAATGGAGGTTTCGAGGTCCAGGTCGAGCTTAGATTGCTTAAGATGCTGCTTGAATGATACACCGTTTCTGTAAATCAGAACCCTAAATCGTTAAAAATGGAATGAATAACAACATAATATTAATCCAAAATATGACAGTGAATTTGATGCCTGTAGATTGATGCCTTAGTCTAAATTTGAAATTGCCCCACATTTTCCGAGCAACCAAACACAACCCAGAAAATTGAGGCAAAAATTGTTTTTGAAAAAACTTGAATTCTAAGTGATGGAACTATACTGGGCAGCCCAGATTTGAAACTTCCCAGCAACATTGGAAGGGATAATTAACTTACTCCTCAATTGCCTGAAACTCCGATCAAGCTGCGCTCTGCTGATCTCGAGCAACTCCGATATCTGATCTCCTGCCATCGCTGCCTTCTCGAAGTTCTCTCTGATGGCTTCCACGATCTCCTTCAAGTCCTTGTGCCTAACCACCATTTTCATGTCCATCACGTCCCCAGTCCGATAACTAGCCGACGACCCTGCATCGTCAAATTTCTCCGTCTTGCTTGCGGTCCTGGGCATCTTTGGAGCAGCCGGTGCCGTGACGGTCGATACTCCGGTGATGGATTCCGCCCGGACCGACCCGAAATTTGAACGCATCCCGATCTCGGACCGTGAATCCGCATCCTCTTCCTCCTCATCGGAAGAGCTCGTCGTGCTATAGTGGTCCCCCCACTCGCTACAATGAACCTCCTCCCGCTCAGTCTCAGTGTACTCCTGATCGTGAAGCTGATGATGCTGATGAAGCTTTTGGGCTTGAAGAGACTCGCGCTTTGGGTCGAAAAAGTCGTACTCGGATCTCTCGGTATCTCCATCATCGAAATCTTGGGAGTCCAAGTGATGAGAGGTATTATTTTCATTTTTCTGATTCATTGATTGTTGAGACTGCTGTGCTCGGTTCCGGAAGTACTCCGAACTAGGAGGAGAAGGAGGATAGAAATTCTCCCAGTTCCAAACGGAAGAGGTTTGAGAGGGAGTACTGGAATAGGTAGAATTTGCTTGGTACGCAGTGGGGAAGAATCCAGAAGGGAAATTTGATGCTTGGCTTCGAGGTGAAGAAGACGGACTCGATTCGGAAAGAATGTGTGGGAGTTTTGGCGGTGGCTTCCGGCGGCGATGATTGGAGGAACCGATACTAGAGGAAGATAGTATATGAGGCAGTTTGGAACTAGTTATGGTAGGAGAAGACGGCGAAAATGGAGGCGGCGGAGGAGGGTGGAGCGAAGGAGAGGGAGAGGGAGCAACACGAGGCGGTGGATGATAGTCGGAGGCCGAACTCGCCGCCGCCTCCGCCGCAGCATACGGCGGAGGAGATGGGTTGAGGAAAACAGTAGGAGTATTGCCAGAGACCGCGAGAGGTTCCCCAGCGGCGAACGTACAGAGGGCGGAACCGGTGAGGCGGAGCGACCGACAATAGTCAGAGTGCGCAGCAGCAAGGTGGTGGCGCGCGTAGACAGCCTCTTTCATAAGGCGGCGCCGGTCCTTGCACCGCCGCACAGTGTCCTCGTTGTCAAGCTTCGACGCCGTGCAACCCATTTCCCTTCACCGGACCTATAACTGTACTATACCACTATCTCCTCTACAGCTACAAAATACCTGCAGCTATATCTATACTACAACATCAATCGGCGGAGAACGGTGGCGCCGGATATGAGTAAATAGGCTTTAAAGTGAAGGAACGAAGAAGGAAAGCGAAGGGGTTATAATAGTGAGCTTGAGCTGGCCTTTGAAGTTTGGGGGTTACAGTACTGTGAAAGTGTGCCAAGGTGGGCGTCGCTTTCTTTCATTTTCATTTCTTCATCCACCTCCCTGTGGTTCCTTTTCTTGTTTGTTTGCAAAGAAAATTTACTTTTCTTTAATAAAAAAAACCTGAAATCCACTGTTTTTGTATCTGAATAAAATTTACCTTTTTCCTTTGGTTTGCAAAGAAAGTTAGTTACTAGGAACCCTTTTTTTGTATCTGGATTTGGTAGGGAAAAATACTGATGCTGTCATTCAAAAAAAAAAAAAAAACTGATGCTTGATTAACGGGAGTTTAAGCAATATTTTATTACAACGATCATATATGATTGAGAAAAGGTGATTACATGCTTTGAAGGTATTTACAAATAAGTTTTTTTTTTTGAGTAAATTTACAAATGAGTATTAAGTTCTTGAAATTTTTTTTTAAAATCTTATATACTACCTGTGATCCCAATTATAAAAACTAGGGCTGTTCACGGGACGGATCGGGACCGGGACAGGCTCATCCCGGTTCCGTCCCGATGAACAGTAATGGGACAGATTTTCTGTCCCGTGTCCCGGCCCGTCCTGGGGTTGTCCCGGTACCAGTCGGGACGGGACGGATCCGGGACGTCCCGAACCTCTTTTTTTTTAATTTTTTTAAATTTTAAAAAAAAATTTAATAAAATTTGATTTTTTAATTATGTTTTTTTGGCTTAAACCTTATAAAAACATCTTTTTATTTTCTTTTTTATTTGTTTGGGCACTCTTAAACAAAAACTCAAAATATTACATATAATAATCATTAAAAACTCTAAATAAAAGCTTTTAACACAATAAAAACTTGTTAAAAATTCTAATCATCAATAATCTCAAATCATTAACAAATATAAAAACTTTAAATAAATATATCCATAGTTCCATACAATAGTCTCAAATCTTAAAAAAATATGAAAAAAATAATATTATATAAATGGGATAAAAAAATTAAAAAAATAAAAATAAAATAAAAAAGGACCGGGACGGGACGATCCCGTCTCGTGTCGCGTCCCGTCCCGGTCCATTTTTTGTCCCGTCCTGGTATGTCAAAAAATTTCGAGACGGATCCGTCCCGTCCCAGTAAGATTGGGACCGGAACGGGCCGATCGAGACGGATCCTTCTTGAACACCCCTAATAAAAAATAGTTGATTAATTTGAAGAGATTAAGAAAATAAGTTTAGTTAGTTAGTTATAATAAACAAGTATTATCTTTCCTAAAATATCCTTATTAGTCAAGTATATTGGTTAGAAATATCATTATTAGAAGGACTATCTTTAAAAAAATGTATAAATATAAGAGACAAAGTTGATTAGGGTTTTATATTTAGGATCAAAATAAAAATCAAACGAGATCTCACACTACCTCTGGTCCTAATTATATGAACTAGTTGACTAATTTGAGGAGATTAAACAAATAAGTTAAGTTAGTTATTTGTAATAAATAGATATTGTCTTTCCTAAAATATCCTTACTAATCAAGTGTGTTGCCTAAAACTATCATTATTAGAATGACTTTCTTGACAAAAAAATACATAAATATGAGAGAAAAAGTAGATTACAGTATTATATCTAGGATCAAAATAAAAATCAAATGAGATCTTATATTAAAAACTGAAGATAGTATTAAAGACTGGAGTTAGTATCTTGGAAGTATATTTCGTAGCAAAAATATTCTAATTGCTATATGCCATTGAGTCTAACTATTAAATTATACAATTTGATTAATATCTTTAATAATCACACTTAACAACAAATAATAGTTCATAATAAAAATATTACAAAATAAAACTTTCAATATATATAAGAACAAAAACAAAAATTTCCAGTATTGGGTGCTTTTTTGTATCTACCTGCGGGATTTTTGAGTACCTTGTCTCTGTATGATTTTTTTTTTTTTTACAGATTAAATTTCAAAGTAATAAATAAGTTTTTAAGTTTTTTGCTCATTAAATCTGGGGGGCCGTGACAGTAGTAACAAAAATGTACAGTTCATATCCTCACTTTATTTTTTCCTCATGCCTTTCTGTCTCCTACATGGGATTAAAACATTATGCTAAATTTAGTGATTAAAACTAAATTTTTATTTAGATGAATTGTCAGATATTTACTAACTAATAAGAGTAATTATGTAAGTTATACTCGTGTGTGCATATTTGTTTAGGATTTAATAAAATGCTAAGAGAATGTACAAAAGAGATGACTTGAAAAGTTTTTCAAAAATTGTGACTATCTTTTTAACATCTAAATCATCTAAGAATATGTAAGGAAAAGTATTCCAAAAATTATTTTAAAAATCACAAAACCTAATAAATTTTAAAACATAAACAAAAAAATTAGAGAAAATATTGTGTGTTTTTGGTCAAAAAAACCCCGTGTTAAATCTATAAGAAGTCACCTTTTTTTTCCAATTAAAAACATGCTGTTATTTTTTTTTAACAAAAGAAAAACACGTTGTTATGAATAATTAGAAATTCATAATATTGATCATTTTCTCCCTCATGTTAGCGTTGAATGCATTCCCTATTTCCTACTATTTTTTTAAAAAAAAAAATTTAGATTGTTGTTTCTATTTTTAGAAATGTTTTTCAAAAGAGATGACTTGAAAAGTTTTTCAAAAATTGTGACTATCTTTTTAACATCTAAATCATCTAAGAATATGTAAGGAAAAGTATTCCAAAAATTATTTTAAAAATCAAAAACCTAATAAATTTTAAAAACATTAAACAAAAAAATTAGAGAAAATATTGTGTGTTTTTGGTCAAAAAAATACCGTGTTAAATCTATAAGAAGTCACCTTTTTTTCCAATTAAAAACATGCTGTTATTTTTTTTTTAACAAAAGAAAAACACGTTGTTATGAATAATTAGAAATTCATAATATTGATCATTTCTCCCTCATGTTAGCGTTGAATGCATTCCTATTTCCTACTAGATTTTTTTAAAAAAAAAATTAGATTGTTGTTTCTATTTTTAGAAATGTTTTTCCTATTTATACATTCTTTTCTTATATGATGGAAAAAAAATAAGATTCATTTTTAAATTTTATTAATCAAGAAAACAAAAAAGGAAAGGCATACTAACTTTCAATGCCAGAATTAGAATTGTGCAACAAACAAATGAAACATGTCACAAGCATGTCATCATAGTTTATAGCTTACCTAATAATATATTTCATCATCTATTTTTATCTTTTAAGTTTCAGGACCATTTATTTCAGCATTATAATTACAACCAAACTTCAAATAATGTATACCTATCTCACACACACACACACACACATATATATTTCTTATATAAACAATTGATTAAGAATTTAAAAAATATTATATTTATTTTTCTATGTAAAACTAATATCCAAAGTAATGATTAACAACCGCCAACCAAACCCTATCTTATTTTCCTAACAGAAGAAAGAGGTCACGAGCATCAAACTTCTGCAAAATTTTGTTTATTTGTATAATTTAAATTGGGACAGCTAACTCTAGCTCAACCCAACAAATACTGAATATGCTCTCCCCAGATAGCCATACCAAGAAAATCAAAATTTAAATTGAACGAGAGTGATATTTAATATTATCCCTGATTATTAGTATAAGAGTTATTTAATTTAGATAAATTAATAAAGTCAAATAAAGCAGGTAATTATAACAAATATAACACAATATCTCTAAAATATCCCTATATAATATTATATTCAATTTATTAGGTGAATTAAAATGATAAATATGAAAGAAAAATAATTAAAGCATTATATTTAGAGCCAAATCTAATACTCAAAAGTTCATCTCATTTGTTTATTTACAATTTATAAGAATTAAAATTGTAAGGTGTTTCGGTTTCTTTTCTGTTAATTGAACAAATGTTTGAGAAAAATTCTTATTTCTTATTAGATTTATGCGCGTGCACACAAAACCTTCCCGCATTAAAAGCAATTTTTGGCCTTGTAAGACGTGACATTGTTTATCGTTGTGTTGCAAGCAATAATAAATGCAGTGGAAAAGAATGAAGCCTCATAATTAATTGGCTTTTCCTCACAAATAAAGCCTATTGTTTGTTGTATCGCTTAAATTAAATCTTTAATCTACCCTACTCAACAATCTATCATTATACTTGAAAACTAGTATGTTCAAAGAGTATTTGGATAGAAACTTAAAAGGTGTTTGGATAAAACCAAATCATGGTTTGGAAAATAACTTCTGGAGAATAGATTTTGGGGAGAATAGATTTTGTGAAGAATAGATTTTATGAAAAAGTGATTATGAGAATTGAGAGTGTTTGGATAGTTGTTATCAGAAGCACTTTTTATATATACAAATTACTAAAAAAAACATAAGTTAATATGATAATTACATAAAAGATAGATTTTATGATATATTTTAATTTGAAGAAATAAATTTATTAATAATATATTTTTACCAACATAATTAATTATATATAAGAAAATGTAATCAATAAATAATTAATATGTGTATATATATTTATAAAAAAAAGATTAAATTTGTTTATAGAAAAATGAATAAAGAAATGTTGTAATAATTAAGATGTTGTTTTGCATCGATATAGAGCATTTGTAATAGGTTTTTTAACTACATTACCAGTCTGGTCAAAGCTTTCTTTCAATGATAGTTTAAAACCTTGTCTACATATTAACTCTTCAATTAGGTTTTATATTAAGGACTGGAGTAATAATCTTATATTTAAGACCAATATTAACTCTCTAATTAGGTTCTATATTAAGGATAAGAATAATAAATTTAGGACTAAAATGAAAATTAAATGAGGTTTTATATTAAAGACCGAAGATAGTAATTATTAATATATATAACATAAGATTATGTTTTTGGAAAAATAAATAATTTTTTTCAACAGGAAAATATTATTTTAGGGGGAAGGAGAATCGGTCAAAAGATAAAAGAACCAGGGAGGAGGGGAAGGCATGAAGATGACACTGATGGAGCAAACAATTGCGCTGATAACATTGGTGCAAAAAGCAAAAAAATTTCACTTACCAACAAAACCATGGT